ACCAATGAAACAAAATAAAGGTTACGCAGAGGCGAAGCGAAGCCTCACATCGCTTGTGATACAGCGCAAGTCCAGCATTGTAATCTAGCAAATAGAAAAAGAGACGAACAAATAAAAAAAATTGTCATACTTTTTTTTGAGAAAACTGAATAAAAAATTCTGGAAAACAGTCGGAAAACATAACCAGCAGTATCAAATAAGCCTTTAAGTTTTACAGAGCGCCTACTAAAGCGACAAAAATTGGGTAGACACCCATTGAGCCATAAAAAAAATGCCAAAAATTTAATATCTTGCGACACAATCTACTTGAATTTGCCAAAGAAAAAACAACCATTTTACACAAAAAACATAATAACTAAGCCGATAAAATACATTTCGAAACAATTTAGGCTCAATAAAGCCTTTAAGCAAAAAAAAACGAAAAGGAAAACAAATGAAAATATACGTCAGGGCTATTAAATTTACAAACTACAGGAGTCAATCAACAACACTTGGATCTACAAGGGAGATTGCTGGCAGAACAAGAAATTTACGCGATGAGAAAACTAAGCAGCTAAAATCTAAGCAGACAAACGAAAGTCTGACAACTCAATTTTTACCGAATTTTTTTTTTCTATTTCATAGATACTGGAAAACACAAGGTCCGGCCGGGTTTCGAGCCCCAGACCTAAAAGTACAAAGACAATCGAGTTATCTCTAGCCGAACTGGGAAGGATTCTCAAAACTGTAAGGGTTCACTAACAAAGCAACTTACAGATTTATTAAAAAAAGTTGTTAAAGGAAAAAAATCTAGTTCGGCGATTAGAAAACACTTGCTCGCGCAAGTGCAAGAATAAAAAAAAGCAGAGCGACTCAATTGTACATTTTTCTCTCTCAATCGTCTAAAAGCTAACACTTTAAAACGGTCTTGCTCGACATCTCTTTGATTTTAAAACGGCGACACTGTACTCCACGAACACAAGCGAGGAAACGGTAAAAAGTAGCTTCAAAACCTTGAAAAAGCAAAACAGAGAGAGGTAAAAATAAGCCTTGAAACATAAAACTTTTGCTGTGGGCCAGATTCAAACCGACAAAACGGAGATCAAAAGCACCAAACTCTCGCATCTGCGCCATGGTCGCTTAGAATGAGTCAAACAATAGCCACCAAAAACACATAGTATAGCCAAAAGACAGCTGAAAAAGAGTCAATGAACACAAGTAAACAATAAAATACTGACTTATTTTTTTTTTAAATCTCAACTTTCGAATTTTATGATTGACCTTTTTTTTGATAAAAATTAATCAAATTTGAGAAAAGTTCATCAATAGGTAAAATTTTTACATCGCTGGAAAATCTGATAATCAAATTCCATTTTCGAAATTGGACGATCAGTTTTTCGTGACCTTTTCTCTGTTCAATAATGCAGTTTACCTTCCTTTTAACAAGGAAATGAACTGAACTGGGTTGAAAAAAAGCAGATTCGTAATATACTGCAATCGCTTGTGTAGATATGATATACACTTTGTGCATCTTGTTCTGATTTCGCGTAGAAAACACATGAATACCAACTTGCACAACCAGCAGTTAAAAATTGAATTTCTCAGTGAAATCATTTAAATGAAAATGATTTACTTTAAAAATGTCAGGGGATTTTAGACAGTTAATCAATTCCAATGATATTTATGAACAGCAGTAAAAAAAAATTCTTCAATATAAGCTGGCGTAAACCAACGCATGACACTTTCCCGTTTTTTTGAGCTTTATTCTCAGTACCCAACCTGATACCATTCTGTTGATGGTTTTTTGTTAAAAAAACGATATCGTTAAGAGTTCAAATTTCTGATGATTTATTCAATCTCCAAAAATTGCAGTCTATAAAGATAGGAGATTCTACAATTTTCACTGTTGTTTCGCAGTTCTTGTATGCCATGTTCGATATTTTGTTTTAAGTCACATATTTAAGAAAACACTGAAAAGTTATACAATGCAGGATCAACTTAGAACTAATGTTGAGATTTATAATCCTCACATGGTGCGTTTCTGGTTTAATTCATAATCTTATGGAACCCTAAAATCAATTCTCGTATAAATCAACTCTAAGGCACCCTATTCTATTTGTATTCATCACAACTGTAAATGTTATAAAAACAACTTTCAATTACAATAAAAATCGCTTAAATCAAATGAAACCGATCGGGACTCACAACGCAAACATCACAGAGGTGAAGCTACACTCCGCAAACACAAACAATAAAACGACAATAATTAGTTGTAAAAAAAACTGAAAGAAAAGGTGATAATAAGCTTTGCAAATTAAAACTTTTGATGTGGCAGACTCGAACCTACGACCAGGAGATTTGAATTCACACGCTAGCCACCAATTAAGCTTAAAAAATGCCAATGCTATGCAGCAAAAATCGCACCAAAAATAAATATACACAAATTTTGCATGTAATAATTTGGAATGTAATAAGCTAAAGGCATCCACACCAAATTTGTATGTAATAAATTGGAAAACATAAAGCCAAATTATTTATATATTATCCATTTCAAAAAATTAGTATATCGATTTGGCAAATTCTCGAAATACTATTTTTATAATTGCACTATTGTTTGAAACAGATAGCTTTTTTTCTGTTCATTTGATGAATTGAAAAAGCATCAACTGTGTTAACTTATTACCAATCGAATGTCAAAGCACATGCTATCAAGAAGCTGTAAAGGTGCACCAAAATTTGCGACTTAGGGTGGAAAAAAGAATACTCGTACTAGAACACAACAATTACTTAAAAGATCAATCACTTAAAATGATGTTCTCCCAAACTATTTCAATTTGTATTTGTAAATTTTTATAATTAACTCTGTAACTAGATATCATTTGGAAGCAATTTATAAATATTATTATACGCCACATTAAGTGGGAAGGCCTGAAAGTTAATGAGGTTTCATAAAAATGCAAAGTCAATTTTTACTAATTTGTAAAACAAGTTGTTTAATGGAAAAAAGTTTCCGGTTACAAGTACACAAGTCTGTAATGACACTTTCACGGCCATGAGTTGAAGCTATTTAAAACCGCCAAACAAAGAAGTATATAAAATTTTATTATAAAAACCAATTGATCGAGAATTCGAACAGATTTTGCTCCAACAAGATCTGTTAATGTTTTCGGATTAAATTTATGAAAAGTCAGATCCGCAAAGCTTATTCTTTTTGACTAACCAGCTAGATGCCTAACCCCGAGGTTAACTTTTGAAGGTTAACTAAGCAACGGCTATCTTACAAGCGCTCACTTTGTAAGTTGCAGCTTGTCTTGAGTCGTATATGCATGGTTACCGTTTTACTTTCTGTTTCTTCGATTTTTTTTTCAAATTTCAAATGATTAATTTCAATGAGTGGACAGCCAAGGTGCGACCGTATTCGTTCTTCTCTTACCAGTTGAATATTTCGCAGCCACTCTCCAGAGCAACATTGGTGTGACTGCTTCTATTTCTGTTGCTACGTGTGACCATGTCTTGAATGGCGGCCTTGAGAAGTCGCAACACTTCAGCCACTGTGGTCACTGAGTGTCTGATTGAAGAGAGGAAGTCCACCAGCACCCCAATGGCCACCACCACTGGTGCCTCCCCTTCCCCCTCCCACTGCTCTTCCGGAGTTGCCCGCTGCTGCAACTGCTGTTTGCATCTGGCCACAAACTCCTCGCCCACATCCATCTCCACCGCTGCTCCCTGTTCACACTCCATCTACACACTCATACTCAATCGCACACTGAAAGCCACAAGGTCAGGCCGTCTACTCTACTCAATGGACAACTCCAGCAAAACCTTCTTTTTTTCTTACATTTCCTGATACAGCGCATTTCATAATTGTAGTGGCTAAATCTATTTCACATTTTAATCCTTAAATTAAAACTTGACACATCGAAATGATACTTTAATGAAATACCAATTCCGCATTTTTTGCCTAATTTGTTGTAGTAATCGCTCAGAAACTTTTTTGAGCTGAAATTAAATTTATTCCGGTTTCGCAGCTATAATTATATGACAATGAGACTCCATGCCTCAAAGAAACAACGAGGCGATATTTTTAAGAAACTAGTGGAGAAACATACGAGCACAGAAACTAAGTCAACGTTCGCAACCCTTTTGATACCCAAAACAACGATTATTCAAAAAAATATGACAATATGAATTTGACGAAGACACCAAAAGGCTGTTGAACAAAAAAATCTACATACTATAGAGCTTCGTGTATACTAACGAACAAAACAAGATCACAACGCAATACCAAATATAACAAGGATAGCCGGTTACTGTTCAAGTAGCAGAGAATGTTACAACCATAGTGATGAAAGGATCTGAAAGAAAAACTAGAACTTAGGTCAATTCGAGATTCATAGTAAACTAGGCATATTGGACAACAGTTTTTACAGAAAAATGACAAGAAAAACCAAAAACTCATACATAAAAATACATACAAATTTATTCGCATACAAATTTATTCGCTCGAAGTTAGTAAAAATCAAAAATTTGTAACCGATATTTCTCAATACTTGAACAATTTTTGAAATTTTTCAAATGTCGTTCAAATCACGAGTGAAAGTGCTTTGCTGTGCTCTGATTATGCGTGGAAAACAGCAAAAAAAGAAAAACTAAAACACATTCAAATTTCGAGTTCCTCCCCATTTTTAATAGTCGGGAAAACAATTTTCGAGATGACTACAACTACGCATAAGTAACTTCTCCAGAAGTCTCCAAATTTCTCCAGAAGTCTCCAAAATTGCTCCTTAAGAGTACACCACATTTTGTACGGTGATTGTACAGTTTGCTTATCATAGAATATTGCATACAAGCAACTGAAGAAGCTATCTCATTAAAGCTCGTTTAATATCAAAAAAACTTTTGTGATCGACATTATAAAAAATCTAATTAAAAAACTGGGTCCATTTGTAGTTTTTCAATTTCGGTAGGGAATCTAGGCCTTTAACTTAAAATCGTTCACTTTTTTCGTGCCATTCGAACTTCCGTTTTTGGAGAGCGTAATTTGCCATCCGTTCACCAACTGAAATTAAATTGAACTTAAAAAGAAAACAAAGTCAAATCGTAAGAAACCAAATTCTCCAAAAATCCACACAACCTAAATAAGAGTCTTCACTTCGCTAATTGCCACATAACAAGACGCACATATAAATTTGCAGAGAATTATTCAGTGGAACTGAATCAATTTAAAAATATAACTTAGGATTTTGGTTAATTGACATTCTACTGGCTTGGAACGAAGTCTAACATGTGTCCGGTCAAAAAAACGACAGCAGTTAAGACGACATATTTTTTCATGTGACTTTAAGACGACACTTCACGGAATTCTCCGATTGTATCTCCGAAAAAATAAAACCAATTTAAATGTATTAACTCTCATTTGTCGTCTCAATATCAAGTCGTCTTAATGTCCTGTCGTCTTATTTACCCAGCACCGTTTAGAATCTTATGACTTATAATCGGAGTTACGTATAATGGTATAAAACAGAATATCACAAAACACGGGAAATATTAGGATTCATATGACAAAAAATGAATTAGGTTAAATTTAAATGATTATGCCGAGCTACCACCAATAAGACTAAAAAATGTGTATAAAGCATGTTAAAACGAGTTGCCGTGTAGACGCATACTGTGTATAAAAAAAACTGATTTGTTCATTCAAACGTATAACTTGTTCAATACACTGGTTCAAAAAAAATTCAAATAACTTGGAGTTTTCCAGCAACTTATTCAAATGATGAAACCCAATTATTAACTACTCTGTGAATTGACACAGAAGCGAAGCTGACCATTGTACTACATTCGATACATCACAAATGGAGTATGGTAGGCTAGCCGACAGAAAAGCTAGACGAAAGTCACTAAGCCTAAGATGAAAAAATAATCTGAACATAGCCAATAGACAAGAACTTAAAAAAGAAATCATAAATGAAACCGCGGAAAAGAGCCTGAACAAATTTTAAGACATTTCCTAAAAAAACTGAAAAAAATCAACACCACCTATATAAGAGACTCGTCGATTCTTAAAAACATCAAAAATTTTGTCGACCAAATTTCCATTCACTTGTGTCAAAAAAGAAAATTAGCAAATAACAAAACTAATGAATCGGTTAAGCCGACAAAACTTGGGTAAACGACAGTTGGGCCGAAAAAACCGTTGTCCTTTTAAATGTCTCGCTCAAATATTTCAAATTCCTCATAGCCCCACGAATGAAAATCTATTATCGCCCATCAAATGAACGCAATGCGAGGCGACTAATCCGATATAAGGTTAGCCAAACCTTTTATGCCAAATAACTGTTTCAACAAATGAATGTTTTAAGAGATAAAATCAGAGTTGGTTTACAGCCAGCATAATTCATTACAGCCAACATAATTCAGACATACAGCCAAGTATGAAATTCAGACATACTCAAAAGAAATCTGCTGGCCAGGTGTCTGCTGCGACACATGATTCAGTGATTACATTAAGCGGGTTGTGAACCTAAAAAAAAAGTTCCCGATTTGAAAACGCTTACTAATTGTACGCGTACAGAGTTAAATTTTTATGGTCCCACTCTTTAACCTAAATCCCCACTGAAGCAAAAACAGAAAACGAAATCAGGGTTCAATTCATAGTCATAATTTGTAACGCAATATCACAGAAATATATATGAAACAAAATTTAAAATAAATAGTCACAAAATGCTCAGCAGTGTGTTGCTGTTGCGCCCAATCACTCGCACCAACATCCGAATTCTACTGTCTACTTCAAATTATTTTACTCGGCGGCCGCAGAATCAGGCGACTGCACTAGCTCGGCATATTTCTGTACATACTCTTGTGCTGTGGCGTTGAACTTGTCTTTGTTCTTGGTGAACACTTCGGCCACATCTCCCCTCAGGGGTCCGGCACTTGGCTCCGGCTCCTCTATCAGCGACTTCAGTGCCAGAATGATCTGGTGCGCCTTCGTGGCCGGCTTCCAGTTCTCGGCTGTGATGATCGGCAGACACACCTGGCCCTCTTCGCTTATGTTCGGGTGATAGATCTTCGTCTTGAACAGCACCTTGGGTGGCTTGAAAGGGTACTCGGGCGGAAAATTCATTTCTATCCGAAATCCCTGAACATCACAGCCAAATATTAACTTCTTTGAAAAACACAGCTTTTGTTACCAAGGCGCTGCAACGTATCCATTCATCCAATTTTTTTAAAAAAAAAAAACACCCGTTCAAGAAAACAATGACACACAAAATGGAGAAAAAAACTGTGGTGAAGCAGGAGTTCGCATGCACCAGTAAAAAAAAAAATTCCTCGCAACAAGCTTGAACTGACTTTTTACAAAGCTTCTCATATTATCCAAAAAAAACTTCCCCAGAATCAAACCCTCAACCTACAAATTCCAAATACGGCAAATTGATCATTAATCCTCAATGGCCTTGATAATTACCTTTGTTACAGTAGCAAATACAGAGCTGATTTAAATCTTTACAAAAGGACAAAAAATAGATACTTCTCAAATTGGGTTATTAATAGACAAAAGTTTTTACCAGGATTAATATGAATCAAATATTTTTGCAAAATTCGGGCCAAAACACTAAGACCAACAATTGATCATTGGTATGGATGACGCACAAGCGAAGCTTCGCAAACACACACAAGCGAGAGCACGACAAAAAGCAGCGCTAGAAAAGGCACTAAAAAAAGTCTCGAATTAGCAAAAAATTGGCTCGGTCTACGAATCGATCTACCTATGGCAATCAAGAGATTTTGAGTCTTATGCACTAATTAACCACTCAGCCACGCACGCATATTCACCGAAAAACAGTAGTCACCAATTAAAGCAGCTACATATGCTAATAAACCGCCAATGCCATTCAGCAAAAGTGGCACCCAATACAAATAGACACAATTTTGCAATTAATAATTTGGAATATAACAAACTGCAGGCATCCACACTAACTTTGCATGTAACAAATCGCAAAGCATACAGACACAATATGTATGAATAATGCATTTAAAAAAACTGTGATGTACTGAGTTAGAAAATTTCTGAAATCGCGTTTTTATTATTGTTATGTTGTTTGAAACAAATAGATTTTTTCGGTTCATTTGATGAATTAAAAATACATCAACTGTGTTTAATTATTACTATTTGAATGTCAAAGCACATGCTATCAAAAAGCTGTGAAAAGGGACCAATATTTGCGACTAAGGTTAGAAAAAAAGAAGGTTCTTAATAATACACTAAGCTGACGAGTGTCGTATTTGAGGGAAATTTTAAGGTTCAAAAAATTATTGGAGCATTCTTCTTAAAACGACGCTCGGACACTCGTGATATATGGAAAAGAATTGAAAATCAATCAAATTTAGCTTATAATTTTGAACAAAAACATAGCCAACTGACAACTGAAAAAAAAGTAATCAACGCAAGGAAACAGAAAAATGACTCAATTTTTGAAAAAACTTCAACTTTCGAATTTTAGAGAAAAACTATGCCCTTAGAGCTTATTGACTTTCAAGAACAAAATATGGTTGGTGCTTTTAAAAAATTTAACCAGTTTGAGAAAACTGGATTAATATGTTAGGTTTTTATTCCACTGCGAAAACTAAAAAATAACCCCACTTTCAAAATTAGAAGTTGTTCACGTTTTTTCGCGCCATTAAAAAAAACAAAACAAAGCTGAGGTCTGCAGTTTTCGACCTGTTATCTTTCTCAACATAGTATCCAGAAAAAGTGTTTTAACTCAAAGCGATCATCGAATGCTTCGGCGAAAATATAACGGAGGCTGTATTTGGCTTCTTGCCTGGAAAATCTAACTTTCTTCAACTCATTTTAGGTCTCTCGAAGATAAATGACAAAATTAGTTGCCCAGAAAACTAAAATTTAATTCTCTTATTGGATTTTTTGAAAACGATCGACAAAAACAAATATGAAACTTTATTTATGAAGCTATTGCAACTTGAAATATCCGAGGAATTCAACCTTTTAACTCGCGATTAGCTATTTAATAGAATGCAAAGAGTTACAACCAATTCAGTGCTATCAGATGAGAAAAACATTAATTTGAGAGTTCCTCAAGAGTCAGTCATCGGCACAATTCTTTTTCTCCTGTACAGTAACGATCTCCCTAATGACATTTTCAGTTCTCAAGCATCTATTCGCAGATGTTCTACAACTAGTTAATAACGGATTAAACCTAAACAATCTAATATACGATTTTGAAAATCTATCCAATTGGAGCAACCAAAATTGTGTTTTATTCAACTTAGATAAAGGTTTCAGCACTGATCTCCTAACAGCAAAAAAAAATACAGCGAGGCTAGAATTCGGAGAAGACAAACTGAAAAATAGTAACGAAGCTAAAGATCTTGGATTAACGTTAAACTGGTCAGTCCATATCAGAAAACGAATATCTAAAGCCTTAGGATTCCTGTTTTTGGCTCAAGCGGAATAATTCATCTTAAATCTGTACCCATCAATACTGAGCCATACTTAATTGTTGAGTCCGAATGCTGAAATTCTGAAACGTTCTGACTATTAACGTTCTGACTATTACCTGATTGAAAGTTTCAACAAAAAGAATTTCCCTGAAAAAACTGTTATAGAAACTACAGAGAGGAACAAAGCAACTGCAACTTATTCACTCAACTGCAACTTATTCAGTGGTGTTTTGAATGACAGGTACAAAGCGGTACAGAGTCGACTTCACTTCATTCTACGAAATAACTGAAACTGGAAAAAGCAAGCGAACTCGATTACCAGACCTGCGATATGAAGTGCAAAGAAACTATTTTTGGTACCTCAAAGGATCTCAAAACAAAATCATCAAGCAGAAGATCGTCTTTTTTTGAAAAACTTAAAAACCTGTTTACACAAATATGGACAATCTTTGAGCGAAACTGAAATGTCAACTATATTTGTTTATGCATTTTTATTTGTCCATATTCAAGTTGTTGTATCAACCCATTGCTGTAAATCTTGGATCACATCCCAGTGACATATCCTCAAAACCATAATAAAAATTATCTTAATCATAATAATAATAATAATAATATATTATCAATATCTACTTATAATATCTAACCCTGAGACAGTGAGCAGAAGTAGAGCGGGTTCTATATTTTCTGATGCCATCAGCCGCTTTCATGTATCTGTATACTTATTATGTCTGTATTTATTCCGACGATTTGAAAAATGGGGAGGAACTTTGTATTCGGGTGTTTTAGTTTTTCTTTTCAGCGCTAAATCAACTTCCACAAATAATCGGGGAGAGTTGAATGATATATCATATTAAAGCCCTTATAACGACAATTACAAATTTCAAAATGTTTTTCCCAGTGTCGAGAAAAACCGACTTCAAATTTTTTATTTTTCGTCTTAATTCGAGCTTATGAATTTTGTCTAATTTTAAGGGCTTAAAAGCTTACAATTAATCATACAACAGCTTATGGGTTTAAAAGCTTCCAAGTCGTAGAAAATTTTTTTTGAATTTTGATAGTGAAAAGGAGCTAAATTACTCAAAAAACTCAAATTTTACAAAAAATGTTTTTTAATTTGCGTATTTTACTATGACCGTCGAATATGCCTGAACTTTTTTCGGTCCGAACTTTCTATCACACCACACCAATAAAACTACAATAATTTGAAAAAAAAAATGTTTTTTTTTTAAGACTATGGTCGGAACATTCTGTGCTACTTGCACACAGTAATCGGCTATCCGTGTTTTCATTCAGTTCGAGAAAGATCGGAGAAACACCTGGTATTCGAAAGTTACGACCATCTTTCCTAAACTGTTGCATGCAAGCCGCAGCAAAATGGTTGAGAAAGATTGGTTTTGAAGTTTTACGAAAAAGTAAATTCAGGAGCTTGGCGTTTACCCGCGGGCTTATAAAATGCTATACATACAAAATAACAGAAACAAATTTACAATGACACCAGATACACAGAAAAACGTTACCAGATTTGCATAGAACAGAAAAAAACACGTGAAACGTCTTAGAAACCAAAATTTGACGAAAAGGAGGGTCTAGAATGTTCAAGAGTTTTGGTTTTTGATTGAGCGCCGATTATTTATGAGAATTGTTAGAAACTGCCATATTTGGACCATATGAATGAAAAACGACACAAACGCCGAAGTAACGAGAGAACACAATCGCAAGAATTAAAGAAAAGAACAACATTTAGAGTCGAACACTTGTAACGATACGAGTGGTAGCATCACGATCGAGTAGAAAAGGAAGGTCCTATGGTGAGTTCGGAACTAATCCGAACCATCCTGATCCTCGAATTTGGATGATAACAATGCTATCTCCTTGGGAGTGCTGGACCGGATGCCCGGTGCCTGGACTATTTTGGAACTGGTCATAGACCTTTTAGCTACTGAAAATCTCTGATCGTATTAATTCAACTGCAAAGTGGGAGTAGTGGAAAGCGAGGAAAGGTCCCATTTATTTAGTCATAACCGTTGTCTGGGGATTGGAGACCCAGCTTATGTGTTTATTATGGTATCCGGCAAATAAATCGACAGATATTAAGACGACAATCGCTTTTGGTGGGACTTTAGGACACTATTCTCCAATTGTTTTCTCAGAAATATAATTCACTTGAATTCTCTAATTGTATCTCGGAAATATAAATAACTTAAACTCGAACAGTTCAGTTTACATGTTTTATTTTAAATTTTTCCTCCTAATGTCAGTCGTATTAATGTCTTGTCGTCTTATTTACCTAGCACTGTTTAGTATATATATTTAATCGAAAGCTTAGTAAGATCCAATCGGCTGACAGTCTTAAAGTCGTAACACGTTCGTTGAACTGTAAATAAAACGATCAAAACTAAATGGTTAGGTTGAGACGGAGAAAAACACGTAGAATTAAAATATCTAAAGTCAGCTGGTCAATATGGACTTTTTCTACTTTACGCGCAGTGTAATTTCTGAGCGAATGTTACAACCCGAAACAATAGTGCCTGCGAATGAGATAAACGGCCACACGCTAACCTTTCGCAAGCCCTTGCTGGCATACGGGTCTTTGTCTGGTACGAGAATTCCTTCCCAGTGCAGAATATTGGCCTCATCCACCTGAACATTGCAAAAAAAGGGTGATATATCGCTGTCAATTTGCTTGACATCTTCCAGCTCTTTCTTTAATCGTCTTGTGGCAGACATAATGACGATACAGCATTTGCTCGCGATTCCTTTGCAATCACAACCCACTGAAAATTAAAAACAAGTTTGTCTACAATATTTTATGAAGCCATTGTCCGGTCACAGAAAAAGAAACACTTCATTCAATTTTTTTTAATTTATTTTTTCTTTGGTCAAATAAAGGTAATCCGAAGGTCAAAAGTATCATAGTAACCGAGGTCACAGTCAGGAGTCCCTTCATCACGTATTCCAGTCAAAATCCTTGGAACTTTCTAGATTTGCAAGTGATAATGATAAAAGAAGATGACAAGTGTTCAAGTCCTTTTCAATTAAAATCGATATGGGTTACGTTTCTTCAATAATAACACGCAACTCGACACGAGAAAGTGTAATATACAAGTGTTACAAATAAAAAATTTCGTCGGAAGTTATTTTGTCATTTATTGTTCCGAGTACGCAAGCGGCGTTCGCAATCTGTATTGCCGTGGAGATTCTCTAATTAAAAAGCTGCCTGCTCTGGGTTCCTCAGTGCATATGCTTAGGTTCTTACAAATCTTGCTCAAAAAATTTCTGTGCTGGGGCCGGCCGCGTCCTGAATTTCAAAAGCTAGCCGTTGAAAAAGATATCCATCATTTACAAGATCTTTATACTTGTCAATTTGTCGCTCTTCCGCTTCAGCGGAAGCCGTACCAGGGTTACAAACAGACCCGGCATTAATCCTACAAGGAGCTAAGGAGTCTACTACCGTTACATCCCACAAGAGCTGCTAACCAACAGCCCAAGGAACGAGCGTCAAACAGTCTGGTCGCTTCTGATCGGTTCTGTAGAGGTGTCGTGGTTCCAAAACAGACGAAATGTGAGTGGAAGATAAACTCTGCTTTATAAGGGCATTCAGGTTTGAATGCTCAGAGAATCTCCCTGCACTTTTGAGGCAAGAAAGACCATGCCAACCATCCTCGGTAACGTCTTTTCCGCACACGCATTTATGCCGTTCGCATTGTTTTGAGCCTAATCGAAGTCCTATCGCAATTCTGAGTGGTTGGTTCGACAGCTTTAACCTTACATTTTTGCACGGGATGACGTTCAACCATTGGGAGCCAAATCTATCTTGGAACGCCTTGAATTTTTTTACGTCCGTTGGTTCGAGTCGTAGCATCAAGTCGCAATTTCGCTGTCAAAAATTGGCTTCGTCCAACTTTTTTTGGTTTCATTTTCCGGAGCCATTTCAATTTTCCAAGTTCAAACCACCGTTTAAGCGCATCATTATAGGTTTCATCCACATGCTCCAAAACAAAGATTTCGCTCAAGGCATCTTTTGCTCCTACTGCTGAGGCTAAGAAAGCGGGTAAAGCGAGTAGACGAGCGGAAGAAACGCACAAGCCACTATTGGCTGCCGGGAGAACTGCTTGTAAAAACTGGTTATCATCCATTTTCACGTTAGTGACCTTGCGTAAATAATTTCTTATAATTTGTCGTAGCGTTCCAAAAAATCATTTTGCACAAAACAAGGGCTCGTACGCAAAACATATAGGAGTTTTGGCATGCTAAAGCAATTTTTCAGGAGGTAAAAACCATAATGGGCGTCTAGTTTGTCAATGACATCCAAGATTTTTCCAAGCTCCTTAATTTTTTCGTCGAGCAATTCTTTTTGGCAAAGTTCGCCGATGGGAGATCCTAAAATGAGGAGTTCTTCTTTTGTTTTTATTTTTATTTTGGTGCGTATTTTTCGAAATTGTGTTAAAATTGAATTATACTGTGTACTAGTAGTCGGTCCCAAAAAACAAAGTTCGCACTTCTCAATGTTCAAGCTCAGGCCGTAAATTCGTTCCGATTTCAGAATGTTTTTAAGGTCCCGGAGTACTACCTTAGAGTCGTCGGCTTAATTTCCGTCATCTAAATACCAGATGTTTTTTTTTCGACTCCAACTGTTTGACTAGTGTATGAATTGTTTCCGCAAAAAGGGTTGGGGCTTCAGGATCACCTTGCTGAGTTCCGTCCTCTGACATTATGACAGAGCTTCCGTAAAAAAGTTAACTAGGTTTACCATACGCGCAATGTGTGTAATTATACAACTCGGGGCGATTTGAATAAACATGTTTCAGCATTGTTTCTCTTTTTAGAGAGTTAAAGGCTCTCTTAAAATCTAGTTTTGAAAAAACAGTGCATTTTGGATTGTCGTCGCGTTCAATTAGGTTTCGAAACGAGTGCTATTTCTGCTCCTCGTTTGGTACCGCATCCTACCTGTTCAATTCCGAAAAAATTGTGTCGCTCGGAGAGGGCCTTGCTTCCAGCGCATTAAGACGCGATACGTTTCAGCGTGTTGCCTATGGCAATCGTTCTCAACCCTCCGTCTATCTTTATGAGGGCGATAAGCTTTGCACCAAAAAAGAAAGCTCTTAGGGGATCGGGTATTTTGCCATCTCCAATGAGGTTCATCAGCTTAGTAAGCGATTTCAGAAAAATAAGTCCTGCACTGCCATTCGACTTACTAACAAGATCTTTAAAAATTTGAGCAATTATTTTAACAGGACCTGCTGCTGATCCGTTCGGAAAGAACATTATCACTTTGAATAGGTCGAAATCGGGTACAAAAAAAACTGTCCAATTTTTCTGGATTTGGAGCTGCAAATTTGGCTCGCTGAGGGTGCTTAGAGAACAATTTTTGATAGCTTTCAGTTGAAAAAGGAGCAATTTTGTCATCCGAAGCAGCAAGCCTAATTCCTCCCTTTACATTTCCTTCATCGAGCTTACTAATTATTAGCTTTATTCTCTGCTCGAGGTCACTCAGAGGCGGGCGTAAACCTTGGGGATGGGGTTTTTGAAGTGACACGTCATTTGCTTGAATTTTTTTATTTTACAAAGAGCTTATGCTTGTGGTCTGTTTGCGTCCACGTCTTTTCGGTTGCTCCAAAAAAAAGAACGATGTTAAAAAAATTAGCCAATTTGTAACATCTTCTACATTGTAGACGATGTCATTTATTTTGTCCGACAGACTTTCCGCCAAGGGAACACTTGAGTCTTTTGGTACTCTCTTGAGTACTCGGACATTTGAGTTGGCTGTATTAACATAATTGTCTAGCACTAAATCATTACCTATTGTTGCTTTATTAACAGATTTTGCATCAACGCATAAATGACACTGAAACCATTGGTATTTTTAGAGTCGCTAAGAGATATATTTACACAACTGATATGATACCAACTAGAACAACAATCACATCTAATCCAATTTATCAGTCCTGAAGGTTTTAAGCAATCTTTACCTGTACACTCTTTTTTGTTTTTCCTCATCTTGACGCAGCATAAAGGTAAAAAAAAAGGATTTTGAATGGACGTTAGGGGACTGAACTAACCCATGATAAATGGTTAGTGGGAATTTTATAAATAAGCAAATAAAAAAAATAAAGACAGTTAAATTAATTTAAATTTTAAAATCGAATTATAAAAATCAAAAACAAAATCACCCGAGCTCAGTATGTCAAGCCAGTTCCAGTTTCCCATCTCCCCACAGAAAGCCATTTGACAGACTTGTCTCTAAAATCACTCAGAAGGCGCTCCTAAAATCCCTCAGAAGGCGCTCATCATAGGTTCCATCCACATGCTCCAAAACAAAGATTTCGCTCAAGGCATCTTTTGCTCCTACTGCTGAGGCTAAGAAAGCGGGTAAAGCGAGTAGACGAGCGGAAGAAACGCACCAGCCACTATTGGCTGCCGGGAGAACTGCTTGTAAAAACTTGTTATCATCCATTTTTACGTTAGTTACCTTGCGTAAAGAATTTCCTAAATTTCTTATAATTTGTCGTAGCGTTCCAAAAAATCATTTTGCAAAAAACAAGGGCTCGTACGCAAAAAATATAGGAGTTTTGGCATGCTAAAGCAATTTTTCAGGAGGTAAAAACCATAATGGGCGTCTAGTTTTTCAATGACATCCAAGATTTTTCCAAGCTCCTTAATTTTTTCGTCGAGCAATTCTTTTTGGCAAAGTTCGCCGATTGGAGATCCTAAAATGAGGAGTTATTCTTTTGTTTTTATTTTTATTTTGGTGCGTGTTTTTCGAAATTGGGTTAAAATTGAATTATACTGTGTATTAGTAGTCGGTCCGAAAAAACAAAGTTCGCACTTCTCAGTGTTCAAGCTCAGGCCGTAAATTCGTTCCCATTTCAGAATGTTTTTAAGGTCCCGGAGTACTACCTTATAGTCGTCGGCTAAATTTCCATCATCTAAACACCAGATGTTTTTTTTCGATTCCAACTGTTTGACTAGTGTATGAATTGTTTCCGCAAAAAGGGTTGGGGCTTCAGGATCACCTTGCTGAGTTCCGTCTTCTGACATTATGACAGAGCTTCCGTAAAAAAGTTAACTAGGTTTACCATACGCGCAATTTGTGTAATTAAACAAATCGGGGCGATTTGAATAAACATGATTCAGCATTGTTTCTCTTTTTAGAGAGTTAAAGGCTCTCTTAAAATCTAGTTTTGAAAAAAACAGTGCCTTTTGGATTGTCGTCGCGTTCAATTAGGTTTCGAAACGAGTGCGCAGCTATTTCTGCTCCTCGTTTGGTACCGCATCCTACCTGTTCATTTCCGAAAAAATTTTGTCGCTCGGAGAGGGCGTTGCTTCCAGCGCATTAAAACGCGATACGTCTCAGCGTGTTGCCTATGGCAATCGTTCTCAACCCTCCATCTATCATTATGAGAGCGATAAGCTTTGCATCAAAAAAGAAAGGTCGTACGGGTTCGGGTATTTTGCCATCTCCAATGAGGTTCATCAGCTTAGTAAGCGATTTCAGAAAATTAACTGCCATTCGACTTACTAACAAGATCTTTAAAAATTTGAGGAATTATTTTAACAGGACCTGCTGCTGATCCGTTCGGAAAGGACATTATCGCTTTGAATAGGTCGAAATCGGGTACAAAAAAAACTATCCAACTTTTTTGGATTTGGAGCTGCAAATTTGGCTCGCTGAGGGTGCTTAGACAACAATTTTTGATAGTTATCAGTTGAAAAAGGAGCAATTTTGTCATCCGAAGCAGCAAGCCTTATTCCTCCCTTTACATTTCCTTCATCGAGCTTA